CCACCTGTATTTATGGGTGTTAGTTCAACTGCTTTGCTAGTTGCAAAGCCGTATTACAGAGTAAAGTGTATTTGTAAACTGTATGAAACTAAAAATTAGGAATAAAACCATTTTTCTTATATCATGGTATTTGTCATTTACTTCATCAGAAATGTCCAGGGAACAATTGGAATGGTGGGTCTCTTAGCCCCTCTCACTGGCACCACGTTCACGTCCAGCTGCTCCGAGCTAGAAGGTGCCCTGGGATACGGGGTGGGGAGGGAAGGAATCGGTCCTCAAGGTTTCACTGAGTGCCAACTGCAGAAAGAGCTCTAGGAGACAAAGTAAAGCCTAAGGTGCGTCAGACACACAGAGGGATTAGGAAACGCACAGGGCTGGGTGTGGACGCTTTGAGTGGGGTGCAGGTAAGGGGCGCTCAGGGAGGCTCATCGGAGGAGTGAAGTCCAATGTGGGACAGTGGCGCTTTCCTTTAGAGCAGGTTTAGGCCACATTCAAACCAGGCTGTTGTCTTCTGGCGACAGTGTACACAGCATGAGCAGAAAGAAATTGTAAAACAAAAGAGTGATTAGTTCTGTGATTTGCATTATTTATACTGTAAGACACCGGGGCCTCCTCTCCATCTCAACTGAGTTATTTCATGGAGGTCATCGGATCCAGCCAGCTTAGTTGTTTTACTTTATTCAGGAAACGACCCGAGCACCACACATGTGCCAGACACTGGGTTGAGCACAGCCCAAAGCCACCAGGTTCAGCGGCTGCCTACCCAGTCAGAAGACAGCCAGGTGTCCTTGTGAGGCACTTCTGAAGGTGCCTGGGGCCAAGACAGAAGTTAAGACAACTGTTCCCAGTAAGGGGAGTCTGGAAGAAGGGCGGCAGGGCGGTTGCAGGGATCTTAACTTGTAACTTCCAACTTCCGGGGGTGGGGGGGGGTCGCTTGGGTTGTCACACTGCACTAACATTTGGTGACCAGCCCCAGGGGCTGTTGGCATGGACACCCTGGTCTGTGCCATCTCCCGAGAGCTTGGGTTGCACACAGAGGCTGGTGGTGATGACCTGTCCTTAGGTCATGAAAGAACCTTCTAGCCATGTAGCTCCTATTCAGAAGCAGATAGGATATGAAGGGCAAAGCAGGAATTCCCACACAAATCAACTGTGGGCAGAGACCTAAGTGCTTATTCAACTTGACAATGAAAAAGTTCCTGGTGAAGCCCTGCTCTTGGATCCCATGGCATGTCCATGGCTTTGACCTCAAGGGTGGTGAAGGGGACCATGACCTCAAGCAAATGCTTTTATTGCAGATACTTTTTTTCATTTCCTAGGAACCAGCTAAGTTTCCAAACACTGAATTTGCAAAACAATGCTGAGCTGGTGGTAGTTGCTCTTTGATGGTGGTAATAGTGTAGTCACCAAGGAGCTAATATTTGTGTCACTTGAGGTCTGACTCTAACTCAAATATTATCACAATATAAAATGTGGCTACTGGGGAGGGTCGGGGGAAAGAACATGGTTAACGCTTACAGAGCTGCGGTTGGACAGGAGAAGAATTCATAATATTCTGTAGCCCATAGGGTGACGATGGTTGACAATTAATTGTACATTTTAAAATAGCTAGTAGACTTTTGAATGTTCCCAACCCAAAGAAATGATAAATGCTTAAAGTGGTAAGTGTAAATATGCCAATTTCCCTGATCTGATCATTACACATTGGACACATGTTTTGAAACACCACACTGTACCCCATAACTATGTACAGTTATGTGTATATATCTTAGATTTTTTAAAATTAAAAAATATAGCTACTAAAATAAGGGTAATAAGAAAGCAATACAGCCAGGCACGTTGGCCCACACCTGTCATCCCAGCAGCTCGGGAGGCTGAGGCAGGAGGATGCCAAGTTCAAAGCCAGCCTCAGCAAAAACGAGGCGCTAAGCAACTCAGTGAGACCCTGTCTCTAAATAAAATACAGAATAGGGCTGGGGATGTGCCTCAGTGGTCAAGTGCTCCTGAGTTCAATCCCAGGTACCAAAAGAATAAAAAAAACAATGCCATACTGTAAGACCCGCAGGCAGTTTACGAACAAAGTAATAGTAGGTGATGCTCGGAACTGATGTCATCGGTACCTGGTAAGACCATGTTCATACTGAACCAGAAGGAATTGTTTGGGGTTCACATCCTCTTCCACGTGGCTCTGGAAGTTAGGTGCTGGGCATGGATGAAGGCGACAGCGCCTCTGGTGGAGAGGAGTGAACCTGCAGGCACGGTCATTGGGTTGGAGGAGGCGGTAGTCAGGGGGGTCAGCTGGAACTGATGGTTGCAGGAGTAAGATTCAGCGGAGGGGCCATGGGAGCTATTCTCGACCAGTGAGAGGGTCCTCTGTGTGTTTGTGTGTGCCCAGAGACGCCGGCTGGAGTGTCCTCCTGCTCTCCTGTTGTAGTCAAGGTCAGCTTCTCTGGATCTTTCTAGAAATCTAGACCCTTGCATGGCAAATAGTTCAGCTCTTGCTTCCCCACTTATTCTGAACAGAGGAGACCCCATGACCACGCAGAAGGCCTGTCTAGCTAGCCCTCCTGGTTACCCTGGGGACTGTAGCACGAACATATTTTAGGGTCTCCGTTCGGGATCTGCGTATCTACCCACTGCTTTAACCAAGTTCAGCTCCATGGTGGATGATCTGGCTCCTTGGGCTGGCGTTCCCTCGTCCACCCTGTAGTTTGGAACGAGTCGTTTCATCTCAATGCCATCATTACTGAGATCACAGATTTGTTTGGTTTTGGTGCTGGGGATGGAACCCGGGGCCTCACACTGGGTAGGCAAACGCTCTACCCCGAGACACAGCCTGGCCCTGTCTTTGTTTTTAAATTCCTTCTACTGGGCTTAAAGCTCTTCTGAATTTTAAAAATTTTGTGTATTTTTAAAAAATAGGAATTACATTCACTTAGGAAAATGTGAAAGGTTGAAAGCAGGATATGGTGGAAAGCCTCTTCGGCGCCCGCCTGCCGTCTGCAGGGCTTCCTAACTGTGCACACGAAACATGAGCAACTTGGAACACATGTCCCACTCCAAAAGCACTGTGCGCCAGGGTTTTACATGTGTCACTTGGATACCTAACGCCAAATCGTCACCCAGTGAGGCCGAACAGCCTGTCCTGTTCCACCTTGATCAGCTCCACGTCATACAACTTTTCTCACCCTTGTCGTCCGTCACATGGGTGAGACGCGCCGGTTCTGGGTAATTAAATTCTCATTTCTCTTAGAAGTGAGTCTGAGCATCTTTTTACGTGCGCTGGGTTTCCTTTATGTTGCTTGACATTTTCTTTTTTTCCTGTTGAGGTCTGAGTCTTGTTTTGAATTTATGAATAAAGAAATTTATTTCTTTACGACGGATGTGATGGGGCTTACTGAGACCTCAGGATCAATTTCAGTAGCACCCTCTTCTTGGTGCTTTGGCCTTGCCGTGATTATAATTCCCATTCAAAGGCGCTGTTCAGGGCACGCAGGCACCCATTGAATCACGATTTAATGAGCACATGAGCCAGGCACGGGGCTAGGTGCTCTAGGAATACAAAATAAGTACAGGTCTCCCTCCGCGACTTGAAGGACTTTTGCCATTGAAGGAGAGAAGGCACACACACAGCTTGGGAGGGGCCTGGATCAAGACGAAGGGAACAGGAGCAAACCCAAATACCTTTCACTTGCTAAGCAATAATTATGCGCCCAATATTGTCAGCAGGTTTATTCTCATTACTTCTCTTCCTTTTTTTGCAGTTCTGGGGTTGGAACTTGGCCTCACCCACAGGCAAGCACCCTACCACTGAGCCACACTCCAGCTGTCACACTGATTAGTTCTAACCCTGGAAAGGGGTCCTCTCTGCGGCCAGTCCGGTTCACTGCCCCGTGTCTAGTGCCTGGGCAGCGTGCACAGCAGTTGCAGAATGGACGGCTGGTGGCCATTTCCCGGCCCTGGAGGGCAGAAGTCTGAGGGGTGAGGTCAGGGTGCTGGCGGGACTGCATTCCTCCTGCAGATCCTGGGGACAGTCCTCCTGTCCTCTTGGTTGCTCGGCTTCTTTTTTGTGCAGTACTGAGGGTCGAGCCCAGGGGTGCTCCACCACTGAACTACATCCCCAGTCCTTCTTTTATTTTGAAATGGGGTCTTGCTAAGTTGCCCAGGCTGGCCTGGAACTTGTGATCCTCCTGCCTCAGTCTCTCAAGTGGCTGGGATTACAGGTGTGTGTCACCGTGCCCAGCTTCTCAAGACCCCTGCCCACCCCTCCCTTGCCAGCTCTCCCCTCCATCTTCAAAGCCAGTGCCGGCCAGGCGAGTCTTCCTCACACAGCTGTTGCTGGCTCTGGACGTCCCTACTCCCTCTGAAATATAAAGTCCCCAATGATGCCACAGGTCCACCAGGTAATCCAGAAGAATCTTCCCATCTCAGGGTCACATTTGCAAACACCCTTTGCCATGCAAAGTAATATGTTCACAGGTCCCACGGATTGCCACAGGGACCTCTTTCCAGGCCCCTTGTCCTGTCTACCACCGCACCCCGGGGCCTCTAAGATGCAGGGATGGGGGAACTGTGCTCCTGTCTCTGGAAAGATCTGGAGCTGCAGAGAAGGACTCCTGGCCTCCACGGGGAAGGAACAGCCGCTCCCAACTCCAGCGACTGCTTCCCACTGACCCACCCCGGCTGCGAGCCAGAGGGCGCCGTTGGGCAGGTGCGCCATGGTGGGTACCAGTCTATAGTGGGCAGGTGCTGCAGGGAGAGGGCTCAGTCTCCTGGCAGACAGCAGGGTGGGGTCTGGATCTGGGACACTTGAGGTGTGATCAGGACCCGCCTCAACCGGACTGATCAGTCTGCCTTTTACACAGGATCCCCAGGGAGCCCTGGGCCCAGCCGGAGGATTTCCCTGTGGAGATCGAGGCCACAGAGGCGGGTCTGAGAATCATCTGATGTCACAGAGCAGCCCCGATGTCCAGGTTGTAGGGCCAGAAGAGGACCAATGTCAGGATCTCAAGAAACAGGGCGAGCGACCCCACAGATGTCTTGAAATTAGCTCCACACGCGTTCTTAACAAACCGAGGGGTGAAATCCCCAGTGTGTGTCAAACCTCTCAGACTCTGGGAATAGAGGGCCGCGATGTCAAGGAAGCCGACTTTACAACTCAAGTCTGCTCAGGAGGTGACAGCTGTCTTGACAGATTTCGAGGTTTGTAGAAAGTAATATATTTTTTTTCGTCTTCATTCATCCCGGCCGGGTGGTTGCTCTCCACCTCATCAGCCTCTTGCACCCTGTGCCGAAATCAGTTTCCTCCTTGATTTCCCCCCCCCCACACAGGCCCCACTGTAAGCTTTAGAGAAACATCTAGCAAAGGTTTGAGGTCCACTAGCCTCTGCGACCCTCCAGCAGCCTTCTTCCCCAGCATGGAAGGATGATTCCAACATCCTTGGGAAGCACAGTGTCTTTTTATTTGCTAATGACCTTTAGTCTTGGGGACAGAGATAGGTTGATCATTACCTCTGCCTTGGATAATGTGGGAAATGCTTTAGTTTTGGAAGAGGGCGATTTTAATAAGCTGGGGACAGGGAAGGCTGACGGAGGGCTTGGTTCCGAGTCCCGCCTCTGTGCCTTCCGGCTTTCAGAGTGAATGAACTGACCATGAGAACCTCATGCCCCGAACGATGGGAGGTTAAATGAGCTAATAGACACACACAAGGAGGTCTTTGCTTATTGAAACCAACCATAGACGACACCTCCCCACCTCGCTGTCCCTTTCCAGTGTGGAATTAGTGGTGGTATTTTCCATAAAGTTTCATACAACCATGAGAAGAAATGGAACATGTCAACATGGATTGCTGCAGTCCGGCTGGGGCAAAATAACCCGGGGGGTGACGAGCAAGTTGTGTAGATTGATATAGCAGGAGTGGGAGCCGTTTATTGTAGGACAGGAGGGGTATTTATACATTTCACATAGCTTATCTTAATTAACATAAACTAGATACAGCAGTCAACCAATAAGAAATCTCCACACTTAATGGCTCGATGGCGCCACCTCACAAACCACTCCTTCTGGCAAAATGCCAGGCTCCATCCCGACTTGTTTACAGACCCTAACAATAGATGAACTGTACGCAGGGCTGAGAGGGATGAGCACATCGTAGAAGACTCTGACAGAGTGGAATCGTTTGGTTTGCATGTTCAGCAAGATGCAAAAACAATACAGTGTTTGGAGAAACAAAGTCATTTATGGTAAAGCCGTCAAGTACAGGAACATCAACGCCCCTTTTTTGGGTAGTTGTCACTTTGAAATAGGATGAATGAGATCAGAGAAGGGAAAATAGGATTTTATTGGCTTCACAAAATGATCATGTGCTGGGCAGGGTGACACACACCTGTCATCCTCGTGTCTGTGGAGGCTGAGGCAGGAGGATTGCAAGCTGGAGGCCAGCCTCAGCAACTTAGCAAGACTCTATCTCAAAAAATAAATAAATAAAAATAAAATAAAATAAAATAAAAATAGCTAAGGATGTAGCTCAGTGGTAAAGTGTCCTGGGTTTAATCTCCAGTACTAAAAAAAAAAGGTTATGTAAGCTACCTTTTTCCATGTTATTAATTTTCATATCTTATATTCCATGTAGTCCCTTAAACATTTTAAATATTTTGGGATACATCATTAAAAATTAACTAAGATAATTAACATGGAAGAATAGAAACAGAAAGGATACTGTTCAAGTCCACTTGCGGTGTAGCCTATAAGTGCTGTTTATTGCTGGGCAGGCTCTGTGCCCGGTGCTCCCTATGCCTTCTTTTATCAAATCCACACAGCTGTACCAGGTGGAGGCTATTATATTCTCTGTCCCCCTGAGCAAATCGGGGCTGTTCGCCATCATGTTGAGGGAGCGCTTACTGATTTTTAGGCACTATACTGTTATATGGCATTATCTACTTCTTTTTATTTTTTATACATGCATTATATTATTTCATTTTTCTGCAATCTCCAAGACCCAGGCCCAAACCACAGCTTTAGCCCAGGGGTCCTCCAACTTTTTGAAAAGGGCCAGATAGTAAATATGTGGTGCCCTGAGCCACACGATCTGTATTGAGACCGCTGACCTCTGCTGCCGGCCACATGCAGTCAGAGAGAGTTTCTAAGAGACTCAGCAATGGTCCAAAGAAATGCCCTGGATGGACGCTGACGTTTGGATTCCATTTAATTTTCACAAATTACAGAATATTTTCCTTTTGTTTTGTTTTCTCCAACCACTTACAGATATCAAGTTGTTTTTGACTCATGGGTTATAAGAAGCAAGGAGCGGGCCAGTAGTTGGGTGCCTGGTGCACGTTTGTTGAATGAATGACTGGATACAAGCCGCAGTCTCAGAAGGCAGGGGAGGGAGACTGCTCTCCGCTCTGGGCAGCCACCTGGCATACCGGGCACTTTCCAGGGTTTCCGTTAGTGGTGTCACATTACGGGTACCTTCTGGGGTCTGCTCGGGAGACCAGGATGTGTGGCTCGCCCAGGGAGGTGTCTCTTCCCAGAACCACAGCAGAACATCAGCCTCTGGGTGTGTGTGTGTGTTTTCACGTGTGCAAGCATTGAACCAAGTGATTGGTTTTTCCCGCGGTGTTTTAATTCAAAAAATTCCAAGTCTGCAGAAAAGGTGCTAGGACTTCGGGGTCACATACAGGAACAGGAACAGGGCCCTGTCGCCCCACGGCCACCACCCCTAACAGCTGCCAGGCTGCTGGCTCTGTCTCCATCCATTGCTCTGCACACCTGTCCACATCTGTCTCCCTCCCGCTCACTCTCTATTGAGTCTCCCGGGTACCAAGTGCAGCTCGGATGACATTTTGTCCCCACATGCTGTTGTCTAACATGCAGCTGACGTTTGGACCTCTCGCTCGTCCATACTGGACCTAACAGGTTCCAAACAAGGACCGAGCTTGGGGTTGTTCCTGATTTTATTCAGCCCCAGAGTCTAGAACAGTCAGTCCCCTTGCCTCTGTGTCTTCCATGACACGGGTGTTAGAAGAGCCCAGGCCAGTCATTCACACAAAGTCCCTCAATTGGGACTTGTTGAGCTGAAGTGTCCTGGGGTTGGATTCAAATTAAACATTTCTGGTTAAAAAAAAAAAAAAATCCGTGAGTGATGCTCTACTGTTCTTGGCGGGTTCCATCAACCAGCAAGGGATGTCATCTGTCCCCTAATGGATGAGGGTGACCTTGATCACTTGCTGAAGGTGATTTGGTGTGCTTTCTTCCCTGCAAAGGGATCTCTTCCATTCATAATTAACATCTGTCTCTCTCTCTCTTTTTTTTTTTTTTTCAACTCTAGGGGAAAATCATCCAGGAGAAGAAATCGTTGAAGAGCATAAATGAGAAGAAAGCTGAACCAGGGCCCCATCTGGCCGACAGGTTCTTAGGAGCTAACGGGTGGCTGAAGGCCACCGAGAATCCACTCCCAGCTTGGTGGCTGTGTGCATGCTAAGCAGCGGCTCCCTAGGGGGTTGTCAATTCAGGGACGTGCTGACGTCGCCTGATTCGTGGTTAGATGGGGGGAGGTCCGGGTGGGCTGCTGGGGGCGGCAGATCTTGCCTGGTCAGCTCCATTTATTTTCCCATCCTGTAGCCAGTTTCCCCTTCTCTGTGCCGTCTCTCCTAGAGCTTGCCGTGTGGACTGTTCCAGGCACCATTTCTCTCACCTGATGACTATTATTGGCCCCAAACGGTCCCCCCAATACCCACTCTGCCCACTGGATTCTCCTTGCAGCAGCCTCAGTGAACTTGTAAAAATTCAAATCAGATCATTGACCGGCTCCTTCTTGACACCTCTCCCTTGACCCTTAAGACTAAAGATCTAAATCCTTACTGTGGCCCACCCCACCTGGTCTGCTCCTTGCCTTTCTCTCAGACCTCATTTCCTCCCACTCTTGCCTGTCACTGCTCTCTGAAATCCTACCAGAAGGGCTGTTTCTGATTCCCAAAAATGCTTCTGCCTCAGGGCCTTCGCATAGGCTTCATTCTTCCGAGAAGCTCTCCCACTAATTTATTACCAAAGATTGTCCCATTTCAGGGATGACTGGATCATAGGTACAAATAAAGCAGAATCAGTGTTGGCTTTATTTAGGCCATTTCTGACCCATGCAGGTGAGATGGCTGCCCATCTCTTCAGGATTACGCCCCGCCCTCTTTGCAGCTCCTGGGAAAAGAGAGCGCTTCTTTTCTGACAGTTCTTATGAAAATTGTGGGTTTCCTTTAATTGGCTGACCACAGGTCACATGCTCCTTGCAGAACCAATCCCTATGGCCGAGAGGATGGAATATCCTCATTGGCCAGGCCGGGGCCACGTGACTGAAGTGGGCGTGGCGGTGGGTTGGCTTTTCCTAAGCCTCCTGGCCTGAGAGGGCTCTCAAGAGAAGTCGGTTGCCAGGGGACAGGGTACCAGGCCCCCAAACAAGATGCGGCTGCGCGGAGCAGAAGCAAAGCATTAAAAGCAAAAGAAACCACAGAGGGGGAGACAGCAGGCTTTGTGTGACCCTGGGATGCGTGTGACCAAAGCAAGAAGCGCTTGGAGGGCGGAGTCTGGGCTGCTGGGAGGATGGACCTGGATGACCTTGGATGAAAGATGTGCGGCGGGGGGAGTGTGGGTGACCGTGGAGCTCAGGGGGTGTGCGGGGTGGCCGTGGTGGGAGAGGCTGTTGCAATTCCATTTTTCCTGGTGAGGAACCTGGGCCCTGAGAGAGGGGGAAACAATTAGCCCCTTCTCCCAGTGGCAGTCCCAAGACCTGATGCTACTCTTCCTGTTCCCAACTCCGGCATGTATATAGATCAGAGCTGGGGATCCATCCCAGGACCTGTGCATGCTGGACAGTGCTCTAGCATCGAGCTACAGCCCCAGGTCTTTGTGAATTTTTTATTTTGAGACTCCGTTTCCCTAGGTTACTTAGGGCCTTGCTAAATTGGCTGGCTTTGAACTCGAGACCCTCCTGCCTCAGCCTCTTGAGCTGCTGGGATTACAAGTGTGTGCCATCATAATACTCAGTTTATATTTTTATATCCCTTTTCTTTAGGCAAAATTCACTTCAATTACTTTTGGAAAACCAAAGGAAAATATCACAGAAAGTGTTTTTTTCTTTTTTGGTACTGAGGATTGAACCCACACCTGCTTAACCACTGAGCCACATCCCCTGCCCTTTTATTTTTTATTTAGAAACAAGGTCTTGCTAAGTTGCTCAGGGCCTTGCTAAATTGCTGAGACTGGCCTTAAACTTTTGATCCTCCTGCCTCAGCCTCCTGAGTTGCTGGGATTACAGGCATGTGCCTGGCTGATATTTCCTTTTAAAATGTATTAAAAAGAAAAAGGGCAGGAAGAGTCTGGATGAGAGACCATTTAAAGAATAAAAAAATAGTTAATTGTGTATGACAGGGATTTAACAAAGTGTGAGGATGGTTTTGAGTAACTGAATGGTGGGGACACGGGGCACTGGAGAAATCTAGAATTCTGTACGCGGCAAGAGTGCCTGCATTGGTCATGGGAAGTCGTCTGACTGGGGCTCTTGAGCCTGTCCCCAGTAGCAGCAGAGAGTAGTTAGAATGTGCTGGTCTAAAGGGAGAAGCGCCCTGCTTTCCTGCTTTCCCTATCTTCTAAATCACTCTGAATCTAACCCTGACCCAGGCCCTAATCCCCACCCTGACCCCAACTCTTTCCCTCACCCTAACTCTTTCGCTCTCCCTGAACTTTAATGTCGTCTTACTGGACCCCAAACCTAACTTTCCCATTAACCCCATCCTGAGCCAACCCTGCTCCAAGCCAGGGTCCTGGGCTGCGAGGAGCCTGCACCCGCTTCTCCCCATGTTGGCTACCATCTGGGGGTGAGTGTAGGTTTGTCGCCAGGGGTTCGAAAACACATTGGTCACTTGTTGAGAGCCACAACCAAGTCGGGATGGTGCCTGGCATTTTGCCAGAAGGAGTGGTTGAGGGGTAATGCCAGCGAGCCATTGGGATGGTGATAATTGGGTTAAGCTGTGTATAATTATTGGAATGATGACTGATTGCTGTGACTGGATGATGCTGGATTGGAGCAGGCTGTGTATTCAGTTGTGTGTGTGGATCTCTGCTGTCCGGCAATAGGGCGGCTCCTGCTACCTCGGGTGCCCGCTACTTTTGAGTTCCCGTTGGTTCTCGGGGAGTTTCGGGGGAGTTCTGGAGAGTTCCCGTGGGGTTCGGGCAATAAAGTAGTTCCTGTTTGAACCTACAAGTGGCTCATGACCTTCCGGTTATTTTGTGCCCAGCCAGACTGCGGCAGCCACTAGTTAAAAAAATATATCTTTTCTGAAGCTCTGTGTGTTACAGACCAGGCAGCCCAGAGCTGTCCAGTAGGATCCACGGGAGGCTTTAGTCTCAATTCCAAATGCCTAGGAGGGAGAGACCCTATGTCACTGTCTCTCCCTATGTGACAGGTCCCCCCAAAGCACCTGGATTAATGCAGGAACCTTGGAGATGAACCATTATGAGAGCCGTGACTAATCAGGGGATGGTAATTGGAATGGAGTCGCTGGGCAGTGACTGCAGGCTGGCAGGGCATGGCTGGCAGGGGTGGGACACTGGGGCTGTGCCTGGAGGTTATATATTGTCCCCAGTTCAGTTCCTTGCCTTCTCCTAGCTTCCTGGCCGCCGTGAGGTAAGCAGCTTTTCTTCATCCCCCACCCCCCCGCCACGGTGCTCTGCTCAGTCTCTGGACTGAGACCCAAATAAACTTTTCCTCCTCTAAGTTGTTCTTGTCAGGTATTTTGGTCACAGGGACGAAAAGCTGATTAACACACTCTATGTGAGGCGGGCTTTGTCTGGTTGTTCTTCCTGGCCCAATAAATTATGGCTGGGGAGGGGTCATGTCCCCCCTGCCCAGCATCTCCGGCAGGATGGTCTCAGAGCCGAGTGAGTTCCCTACAAGGTCAGTTCTTTGCTATTTGACTCCTCCCTTTCTTTTCCTCCTTACCGCTTCTCACCTAACATATTCTACTTCTTACTCAGTTGATTGTCTACCTTTCCCACTTGAACATCAGGCCTACAAAAGGCACTTCTCTCCTGCTTTCCCAGAACCCAAAACAATGCCTGGTACTTAGTAGGTGCTCAACAAACACTTTTCGGATGACTAACTATGTGCACCGCACATGCAGCCACTGGGATGACAAGAGTGCGCCACTCTGCCCGGCTCCTGGAATATCTTGAGAAAATGGGAAATGGGTGTTTGTTTTGGGTTGTGATAAGACAAGCAACTCACATTCAACAAAAGTTAACAGCTGCTCCGCACACAGGTGTGATATTGAGGGATAATTTGCAACCAAAGAAAGGCCGGGTTATTAATAAACGGCTGGGGAGAGGCGTGAAGGGATGGGGAGAGTCTTCAGTGGAGAATGCTTCTGCAGTCCACATCCCACAGGAGGCCCTGGGCAGCCTTCTGTTCCACTCATTTGCAAATTAAGGGACCTATTGTTTTAAAAATAATTAAGTCTAATTTTGCATGTTTGGGAGATGGCTCTCCACCGCCTTGGGGATCTGTATCTTTTTGTGTTGTGCAGAATGCAGATTGATCTCCACCGCTCGGCTTAAGCTGCTTTGCGTACCTCTTAAATGCTGGCCGTGGTCAAGGCTGCTGTTGGTAGGGGACTGAGACCCGGCTCTCTCGGTTACCTCGGGAGTTCTCTGTCAATCCCTGGAATTCTGCCCTTCATCCCAGGGAGCTTAGAAAACATCAATCCCAGTTTTCTTCCTTTGACAGTTGCAGAAATGGATGCCCAGAGAGGGGAAGGAACGTGTCTGAAGCCACCCAGCAAGGCGGCGGCAGATTGGAACACACGACTCTTCCCACCTTCGAGGTTGGATTCCCCATCAGACCTGTGTCCCAAGTGACAGGCTTTTAGCACGTCCCTGTACCACCTGACCTATTGTCTCCTGAAGGTTCTTTTCTTTCAATAAACCACTTTTTTAAATGTGAAGACATGAATGTAGAAGAAAATCCCATTGCAAATATAAATGGGAAAAATCCTATCGCTCACCAAAATAGAAAATAAATGAAAATCAACGCAGAACAAACCAAACCCCATGACTGCTTAGGGGCATCTAGGTCACCAGGGCTCTGGGGGGGCACCTGCAGATGTGCGGGACCCCGAGGCACCGTCCTGAGACTTCCTGCAGCTCCTAAGGGCAAGGAGCTTCTCCCAGGGTGACTGTACCAACTAAAGTCACCTCCAGGTCACCTAGGGCCTCACACCCGGGGACTGAGCCAGGGAGGACGTCTCTCCTTCCTTGCAAGGCTCTGGCTGAGACCCCGACAGGACAGGATGGCCTCCCTGGGTCCTGGAGCCCACAGCCTGCTGAGAAGCGGAGTGTACCCCAGCTCGCCCTCTGTGAGGACTTGACCTTCTGCAGGCGCCCGGGAGGCTGCTGGGGTGCAGCTGTTGAGGGACAGCGGGGAAGTGGGCGAAGCCAACGTTATGGGGTTTGTTTCAGGTCCTTGGGGTTGGGGTCCCAGGCAGGGGCAAGAAGAGGAGGAGGAGGGAGAGAAAGGAGGAGAGGGAAGGAGGGCTGGTAGGTGGCTAGAGAGGGTGGGCTGGGACTGCCAGCTGCCTCTCAGGGTTGGTTCCTCCTTTCTTTCATAGTCATAGGCTCAATTTTTTAGCTGGCAATTAGAAACCTGAAATTAAAAAAAAAAAAAAACCAACAACATTATTTTCTAGCTTCCTTTGTGGCTAAATCCTCGTACATGATATATAAGGGGAAATGTCAGATAGTGGCTTCCGGGAACCATCTTTAAAAGATGTTTTTTTGAGCCCTTTCCTTTTATTTCTATCTCTTTCTGGTTGCCTGGAATTTGTATGTGATGGCTGGAAACAGGCAGCTGTATTTGACCAGATAACTGTGCGATTGTCTTAAGTCTACTGGGTGGTGGTGCGATGAGACAGAAGGAGCCAACTTCCCTAAGCCTGTGCATCTTATTTAATTTTATTTGTAAAAGACAAACTGCCACCTTGTTAAAGCCCCTCAACTCTGGATTGAGAATGAGAGGACCTGGGTTCTAGGCTCCATTTCTCCAACTCGGATTCCACGTGAATTTGAGGATGGAGGAAGATACGTAGGCCCCTCAAGGCCATCTGTGGCACCTATTTTAAGTCTGCAGTGCGGCTCCCCTGGGGGATTCTCAGTTCTGCTCTGAGCCTGTGTTTGGATTCCAAGGGCAGCCGTGAGGGCAGGGCGCCCAGGGAGGCCGAAGGGTTCTGGGTTCTGCCTGAGCTTCTCCCAGGTGTTACCCCGTCAGAGCAGGCAAGCTGGGTACCAGTGGGACCGGTAGGCGAGAAAGCACTGGGTATCCGAGGGACCGAAGTCTCTGCTAACTGTTAAATAGCATCACACCCGGGAGCAGGTCTGTCCTTAAATTGCCTCATCCTCTCCCTTAACTCTGCCAAGGACGGATTTGTAAAAGACAAACAGCCCCTCCCTCCCCTCCCAATAGCCGCAGCAGTTGCACAGTTGTTATGTATTTTAAATAAAGCATTTAAAACCACTCAGAGTGCGGCTCCCATCACCATGGAGACTCATCGCTGAAATCCTTTGTTGCCATAGCAACGTCCCACCCTTCACCGTCCCCCCCCCCCACTCCATCCAGCCTGTTTACCCTGAAACTGACACGTTGGTTATGGTGAATGATCGGGAAAAATGGAAGAGGAACTTCCAAGGGCGTAGAAGCATGAAATATCGTGCCAGAAAATAGGTATTTTTCCCATTATTGTAATAAGTACGTTTCACTCTCCTATTTTTATCAGGATAGATGACTATTATTATTACAGACAAGAAAGAGGAAGATCAAGGATGAATTAAAGCAAAAAACGATCCCTTTTGTCACGTCCTGTAGGTGATTTTTTAATAGCTCTCCTTCCTGCATTGAAAACGTGCTTCCATAGCGATTGAGAGCATTAAACCCAGGGTCCTGGCTGACCCATTTTTTTGCAGTTTTTCAAAAAAACACCTCAAGAAAACCCTATTGGAAGAACAACCATCTGTACAGAGGTGGCCAGAGCAGGATTTTGGGAATGATAAGAAACGCAAACGGCCCTTTGCCAATGTCAGGGAGCTGGGATGTGTGTGTCGGGGGAGCGGGGTGGGATGGGGGGGTGGGGGACACGGGGCGTCCTTCGCTGCCTTGAGGAATGACAAGTTACACGTGTGTGGACATTTACTAGGGGAACGATATAAGGTCAAGCAGATCACAGCGGATCCCAGGGATTACAGGCACGTGCTCTGAACATGTTTGCACACACCTTAAGCAAGACTTGGGGGTGGGGTGGGGAGGATCTGGGGCTGCTGAGCTCCTGGGGGTCCACGAATCTGACCTGAATCTGAGCACACTTAGACCTCTCCCCCAGAAACATCCCAAGACATTCAGCATTTTGCATAGGATTCTGGGAGCTTTGTGGCCCATGGTCAATCCAGGGGTGCGCCTCCCCACAGAGGTCCAGCTCCAGGCTGAAAGGGTAGCATTCACTTAGTTCAAGCTCCGGCATCAAGTTTTGGAATTCAATTAAAAAAAACCCATTCAAACTGAATCAGAATTTCCATCCACAGGTTGGACATCCTCTTGTCCCAAATATTTGGGACCAGAAGTATTTTCAGAGTTTGGATTTTTTTTTTTTTTTGCTTTCAGATTTTGGAATATTTGCATATAGATAATGAGATATCTTGAGGCTGGAACCCAAGTCTAAACACAAAATTTATTGACATTTCATGTGCAACTTCGTGTCTTAAGGTGATTTTTTTTTTTTTTTTTTTGGATTGTACCCAGGACCTTGTGTGTGCTGGGCAAGCGCTCTGCTACTGAGCTACATCCTCAGCCCTGAGGGTAATTTGGCACAATATTTTAAATGCTTTTGTGCAGGAAGTAGCATTCCCCCCATGAGGTCAGCTGTGGAATTATGTCAGTGCTCAAAAAGCTGCAGATTGGGGGGCATTTTGAATGTCTGAATTTGGTCTCAGATTGCTCAGGCTGTGTCTAACTGGCATGCGGCAAGCGGGTTTTCTTGGTCTTCCTACTGTCCCCATCCCTGAGTCGATAACAGTGTCTGTTCCAACGGTCACTACTGACCATTTTTCTGAAGGAAGAGATTACTCAATAGCTGTCCAAAGGCCAAGCATTCCCAGAAGAACTATGATTTTGTATGTGAAGAGCCACCGATGTTTGTCATGGCCGTGTGCATGAAGTGACGGGTGCTTATTATTAATTGGTAATAATAATAATAGCAACTAATTCGAAGCAATTCATACCCAGGGTATATGTCCTAAAGACATAACTGGGTCTCTTTGAGGCACACAGAGTGAGAAAATGGTATTAATTGTCGCAGCAGAAGTTGGAACACTCTCTGCCCACCCAGAAGAAGCTGACAGGTGAAATAAGGGGGTTTGGTGGACTGCTGGGGTGCAGGTAACATCAACTCATCATCACAGTAAAACATTCCTAAGAAGCACATAGATCCTTACATGTTCAGCTGGACAAATTGTCAAGCTGAACATGCCTACAACACCAGAATCCAAGACAAGAAACAGAATATTAGCCTCTCCCCCAAATCCTCCTGTGTACCTTTCTGGTCACTCCTTCAACAAGGGTCACCACTCTCTGACATCTAACAACCTAAGATTAATTTTGGCATCTGATGCATGTATTCTTTTATGACTGACTTTTTTTTTAAATTTTTTAATATTTATTTTTTAGTTCTTTGTTGGTATGTGGTGCTGAGGGTCGAACCCGGGCTGCACGCATGCCAGGCGAGCGTGCTACCGCTTGAGCCACATCCCCAGCCCTATGACTGACTTTTTTGCTCAGTGCTTTCTTTGTGGAATCCATTCAGGTTGCAACAGGTAGCTGTATACTATTTGCATTGCTGTATAGTATTCCATTTTGAAAATAGATCACAACTTATTCATCTCTTCTGTTGGTGGGCATTTGGGTTTCTAGTTTTTGTTGTTGTTTTGTTTGTTTGTTTTTTCCTATTTTTAACACTACCTTGAACATTTCAGCAGTGTCTTTTGGTGAGTGAATGGATGTTTTCTTTTTGCAATATTCGTAGCCGTGGACTTGCTGGATGAGAGTGTCTAGGCAGGTTTAGTTCTACTTTGGATGGAACCGTTTTCCAAAGTGGTTGTACCTGTTTGCGCTCTCTCCCTCTGTCTTGCCACATCATCCCCTGGCCCAGCATTCCCTGTAAAATCACTTGTGAAGTAAGCACTGTTTCTTTCTGGTTTCTGAGTCACTTCGTCTCTGATCCGCCCACATGAATCAGCTTCTTGAGGAAGCCCCTTCCACCCACCAGTTGCCTTGAAAACATTGGATGCTAATATCTGTCAAATACGTAAGTGACTGATTTAGTTCTTCTGGAACAAATCCCAAACATTGGCTCTTCCGTTTTTATTTTTAAGTCATCCTTAAGAGGGACAAAATCTGAGCAATTTAAAAATACTGAATTAAAAGCAGATTACCAGTGGTGGGGGTGGGGGGGATGACCAGATTCCTCTAATATTCAGTTTATGCCCCCATCACCACAACCAGAAAAAGGGTTCGGCCCCGGGGCAGCGGGTTCGAAGGCCGTTTCTGGATCTGGGGGTGGGGGCAGGTTAGGATGCCACGTAGGTTGCCTTAATCTCCAAGGGGGCTGTGAGGCCTGTTTCCGGTTTGCATTGTTTCCCAGAGGTTGAATCTTTCAAACTCATCATTTGTAAGAGTCCCTGCAGACCTTGATCTCCGGAGACACTAAAGAAGGTGCAAGCGGATAGGAACCACAGACGCACCCTGGAGACCTCTCATAAGCCCGGCTCATGAGGGGTCTACACACCCATTTCATTCCCTTGGATGCTAATGCCAGAACTTTAGGCGCTAACCTTGATCGCTTTCTCCCGCCATCCCCACCTCCATCCACCTCCAGACCTGTGCGCTTCCTGCTCTGAAGGCGTCTCCAACCTTCCAGGACTTCGCTCGACCTCCCTGCGCCCAGCTGGACCAGGCCGCTGCTGTCTGCAGGCCGAATTTCTGCCCCCTCTCCTTTGCCTGCAGTCGATCACCCACCCAGACAGCAGGGTGAGCTTTGGGGGGGTCACTCCTTCAAATCCCTCCGCGGCTTTCTGCAGAGGTGCCCTGGGCGTCTTGCGCTCACCGCCCTCGCAGACTCCATTTCTGGACCCTGCCGACCTGGTACCTTCCAACCTGGTACCTTGGCTTAGTCTGGAGGCTTCTCTGGCCATCTAAAGGGCAGGATAGAAGAGCCAGGAGTCCCCTCACCTCCTAGACCCCCATATTTCAACCCATGAGAGGAGGAGGGTCCTACCTCAGGTCCCGTGCCTCTTGCCTGGGGTTCCCCTGAGTGTACCCTATGCCGCCTCCCCAGACCCTCCGCTGCATTTACAGGCCACGTGCTCCGGTGGTGACCTGCCAGCTCACACAGACCAGGGTTTACCTCCTCTCTCCCCTTCCTTCTCCCCTCCTCGGGCTTCCTGAGCTCACCTGCCCAAGAATCAACTTGCACTTGCATCTTTTCTCCAGGGCTGATCCTGGAGGACCCCACATGCAGGCCCTGGGCTCTGCATTCAGGTAACATGGGAATATGTCACCATGGTCCCCGAGGTAGGCGTCACTGCTGCCCTGGGCTTTCCCCTCTTAGAGGTTGACCACGTCTGTCCATTTGCCACTGAATCCCCAGGAGCTTGGTTCACAGCGGTGCTCCATTAATATTTACCGACTGAATGAATGTGGCATTATCATTATCCCCATTTCACAGAGGAATGAGCTACTGCTGAGGGTGTCTAAGTCACCTGCAGAAGTCACATAGCCAGACAAAGGGTCTGAATTTGAACCCAGTGCTGTCCCTTCAGTAAACATCTCAGCTTGGAGTTGCTGAGTCCTTGGGTCAGGGTATCTTTATTTTCATAAGGGGCCATGAGCATGGACCATCTGCATTCTCAGAGGGCATCTTGGGAAACGTTCCAGTGGCTCCCTGTGCTCACCAACGCTTGCTGTGGTCTGCCTTACTGATTTGAACCATTGCGGTGGTTGTGGGGTGATATCTCATTGCGGGTTTAGTTTGCATTTCCCTGATAATCAACCATGTTGAGCATTTTTTTCCATGGGCTTGTTGGCATTTGAAGTGTGTGGGCATGCATATGAATCTATATGTGTGCAACTTTACTTGGTGGGATGGTAAATGGCTCAGTCATGGAATAGGGGAAGAGCAGAGAAGGAGATGGGGGAGAAGAAACCAGACCAACGTGAGGGGGCGGGAACGGGGAGTTGAGAAATGAAAAGATTAAAAGTCATAGAAGGAAAAAAGCAATCTTCTCAGTAGGAAGAGCCATCTGCTGTGGTGTCTGTAGCATTGACCTCGCCTGGTACATGGAACGTGCCCACAACCTATTTGTTGAATAAATAGTAGGCGACATGATAGTTTTTATTATTTATCCAGACTACCTCCTTCTTTCTTCCTACCTCTTTTTCTCTTTCTTCTTCTTTCCTCCAATATTAAAGAGAATATCCCAGATCCCGTGGGCTGGAAGGAGGCGCGAGTGGGTGGCACACGTGGATCCGAGGGAGACACTGACATCAGAAGGGACTTGGCATCCGAGGAACGCACATCCCCTGGGCCTGGGGTAAAAGTGCCCAAGGTCGCGAGGGAGACTAAGGCACAGTTCCTCGCCTCCCGTGAGGCTGTGGGGCTGCCAGGTTCTGGGTGCATCCAGGTGCCATTCTGTGTGCGTGGCGCCCCCTAGGGTCGCGTGCTGAGGCTGGACTCCGCAACCCATCTTGACTTGAAGTGTCAGTGCCTCCTTGAGAGTGTGATTTTCTTTCCTCTCCAAAAGGCGCAGGGACCACAGAACACGGCCCCGATGGTCTGACTCCAATTAGGAGCTCGCACTTGGCTGGTGAGAATCCCCAGACAGCCCGAGCTCTGCTGCTCTTGACAGAATCTCCAGCCCCGGCCGTCGTCGGGCTGGTTCAAGGGGCAGAGCTAGAAGTGCTTGGTAATTGCACCGAGCCGGGGCTGCTTGCTTCCCAATTACTGAGCGGCTGAAGTTATTTGATGTGGGAAAACCCTCTGCTCTGCGGGACCACCATCATGCCCAAGTGAGCGCAGCCGGCAGCAACCGCGCAGATTCAGCGCTCATGAACAGCGTGGCGGGGACAGATGGATGCCCAGAGGGGCCTCTGCCCTTTTTGGTGTCAGCAATTTTCTCTTGGCCTGGGTGCAGCTGAGCCAAGACAGGCACTTAAAAATAATCACCCTTATTGAAGTTAAGTGTATTAATTTGCATGCAATAATGCTAAAAATAATCAACTTTATGGAGGCGTGATTTATGCACAGAGATGCACCCGTGTTAAGTAGACCATTTTGATGAGTTTTGACAGGTGCATAACCTGTGTGGCCACCACTGCAATAAAGATATGTGCCATTTCCATCCTCGTGCCCTACTGTCTAATTAGTCATCAGTCCCTAAACCCCAATCATTGATCTGCTTGCTGTAAGGAGAGATCCCTAGGATTTCACATACAGGAATTCACACTGTCTTTCGTGTCCATCTCATTTGGCTTTTGAGATTCATCCAGATTGCTTGTGTATCACTAGCTCATGCCTTTTTCAGTACTAAATAATATTTTGCAGTGTGGTTATACCACAATTTTGTTTGTCTATGTGCATGTTGATGGGCATCTGGGTCAGTTACAGTTTGAGCTATTATTAATAAAGATGCTGTGTGTGTGTGTGTGTGTGTGTGTGTGTGTGTGTATATATATATATATATATATATATATATATATATATATATATATCCATCCCCCTTGGGTAAATGCCTAGGAATAGAATTATGTCTGCTTGGGTCTCATGTTAAGACACCCAATATTGTCCCATTTTGCATTGTCCTCAACAACATATGCAAGTTTTGGCTTCTCTGCATCCTCATAAACACTTCCTATTGTTGGTCATTAATTTAGCCGTTGTGTTGGTGTGTAGTGGTGTCTCATTGAGGTTTCAATTTGCATCTCCTTAGCGATTAATGATGTTGAACACCTTTTAGTGTGCTTATTGATCACTTATGTGTCTCTGTAAAATTTCACCCGTATTGTAACTGGGTTACTTGCTTGTCATTAAATTATAAGAGTACATATTCCAGTGGCAGGGGACAGAGTTAATCAAGGTTCTCGGTGTGATGAGGGGCATACCGTTTCTTTTTGGAATCTGGCCAGGGTAGTGGGGGAGGGGATTGGGAAACACAACTTAAGATGGAGAGAGAGACAGAAATGACTTTAGCACAAAACACCCAGGGGTCTAACCTCAAACTTCAGTACTGAAGTTTCTGCCTGGACACCTGGAACACTTGTTCAAGCACAGCTTCCCTGGGAGACCAGCCAGGAGTCCTCTTCAGCAGGTGTTGGGTGGGGCTGGAGCTCTGCTTCCCTAAGAAGCTCCCTGGTGACACTGACGCTGTAGGTCTATAGATATTTCATAACACTTCATGGACTCTCAAGCCTGAAGTTAGACTACAGGGAGGACCTCTTGGTCCCCACTTAGTCTCCATTTTGTAGTCTCTGAAGCCCCTCCCTTTCCTTCTGCCCACCCACCCATCCCATTCTGCAGAGCAATTGGACAGAATCAAATGACTGACAATCCATATTGTCTACCTGGAGAGAGCCAAAGAGGTCGGGGATCAAGGGACCAAGGAACCAAAGAGGAGAGGAACAAACAGTCAAGCAGGAGAAAGTTCCGAAGGGGTAGATGCGCTGAAAGTCTAGAACAGAGGTCATAAATGGCTTGCATTTGGTCTGGATGTGTTTCTTTTTTGAGGAAAGATGTCTGTGCTGTGTTTCAAATTCTTTCAGATGGGTTGTTGATATTTATGTGTGTATATTTACACTTTGGTGGTGCTGGGGATCGAACCCTGGGCACTGAGCTGCTTGACAAGGGCTCTACCGCTGAGCCGCACCCCCAGCCCTGGCAACATTTAGGGGTTTGGAGATTTTACCAGCAGTCTGTACTTATTCTTGAAAAAATATTAGGAGACCCTGACATACAGGTTCCTGCCATGCCCTTCGGGTGCACTGATTGCTCCCTGGGTTCTGGGCACCGGAGACCCTCATCTGCTGCCCAGTGGTGAGTGTGACTCCTGTCTCTGTGTGTCATCCTGGTTGGTCCCCTCAATCCTGCCCACTTTGTGTAAATAGATAGTTCAGCGTCCCCCTCCCATTCACCCTGGGGTGCGCTCTGCTTCCTTCCAGCACCCTGACTGTCACCGCAGGTCTGCAAGGGTCGAGGGGGTGATACTGGTGTATATCCAGCACTTCTGGTGCAAAGATGGTTGCCACTGTCCTCCATCTCCACTCATTTTTCTGAAAAAAAAAAAAAACTTACAAAAATACTGACCTTAGAAGTAGGATTAACTACAGAAGGTGGCAGCATCTCCATTCACGTGTGCTTCTTTCCATCCCCAAATTTTGTTGGGTGAAATAGCTCCACCAGAAACGTTAACAGGTGACCCTTGATGGACTTTTTTTTTTTTTTTTCTTTTAAAGCCAGAGACACATTATGCTCCTCCCTGGTGATGATCTTCGTCACCATCGCGATGGACGATGTCGCGACAATGTTCCTTTTGGGGGAACAGTAGCAAGAGCCCTGGGGGAAGGCTCAGCACCCAGGTGCCTCCCTTGTGTTCCTCACAGATGGGGAAACGGGTGCTGGCGTTAAACTGAGGTTCCCCGAGGGCTGCCCTGGAGGGGCAAGTGGATCTGAACTCAGGTTGCTCGGACCCCAGGGCCTGCCCTTAACTCGCCACACTGAAGGTGCCTGACGACCCAATGCTGCCCGGAGCCATCCATGACCCACACTTGAACCGCCTGGGAACTCAAACGTGGGGGAAGCCACTAGGTAGGAAAGCCTGGCGTCGGGACCTCGCAGCAGCAGCCCTGCAGGTTGGGAAAGCCTGGTTCGTGTGGCTTCCTCCCCAGCTCCGCCACAAGTTCAGCACAGCATTGGAGAGGGGGTGACCCGATGGAGCCCCCCCAGACCCGCGGAGATGGGTGCGACTTGCCAACATGTCAATCAACCTGTTTACTGCAAGACTCCTGCCACTCCACTCAACCAAGGCTCCTCCCTCTGAAGCCTTATCCCTGCCTCTGATGTTCTCCCCCTTAAATAAAGATTCAGGGCCATTTCCTGGTTGTTCAGTTCCAGCTCCTATCGGGACGGGAACACCTATCAGACCCTCTACTTTTTATACTTAATTTCTGGTTCCATGATTAAAGTTCTAGTGGAACTTTTCTTTCTTTTTTCTTTTTTGGTACCAGGGATTGAGCCCAGGGGTGCTTAACTACTGAGCTACACTCCTCTCCCCTTATATATATATATTTTATTTAGACACAAGTTTTCACTAAGTTGCTCAGGGCCTCCCAAGCTGCTGAGGCTGGCTTTGAACTCGCGATCCTCCTGCCTCAGCCTCCCGAGCTGCTGGGATCACAGGCATATGCCACCGCGCCTGGAGATGTCGTCTGCTGTCACTATCCACAGCCCTACTTCCCTCCCTTCTTCCCACGTCTCAGGTCTAAGCCAATCGGTGCTTCCCATTCCACTAGCTACACTGATTGGTTCGGGGATGGGCGTTAGATTAAAACTGACCAATCAGAACAAAACTCTGGAAGGAAGGCTGTGGGCGTGGCCGGCAGGGGGCCTGTTCTCTGGAGGGGACTTGAATCTGAGAGGCTGTGGTTTGGGCCTGGGAGTCTTGCCTCCACGAGGTGACAGCGTGCACATAGCAAAGCTGAGCTGAGACGAGAGGAACCAGGTCCTGACAGCATTTGTCCCCAGAGCCTGGCCACATTGTTCAGCCACCCTCCCTCCAGTTCTTGCTTCCCGGGTCTGAAGTTGATTGTTTCCTTCTTTTCCATCAGAAAGTTCCTACCTGAAGCCGCGGGGGACCATTTGCCCCTTGATCCTTGTGGTATGATTGTGGCCTCATTATTTTCAAATCTCAGACTTATCATTTCATCTTGAAACATTTCATGTCATCCAGAGGCAAGGATTGTTTTAAAAACAGAATCGGAGTAGGGTTAAAAATAGGGTTGGAGTTGCAGCTCAGTGGCTGAGCGCTTGCCTAGCGTGTGAGGCCCTGGGTTCGATCCTCAGCACCACATTACAAACATAAATAAGTAAAATAAAGGTATTGTGTCCAACTGTTATAAAAAATATTCATAAAAAGAATAGGGTTAAAAATAAAAACAGACCATTACATAGGATCCCTTTTATTCCTCATCGTTGCAGATAAACTTTCCTAAGATTTTCCTATGAAAGGTGCAATTATACTCATTAAACGATGTCCCTCAAAAACTGTGGGTGAATTTGGAATTTGGACTTAAGATTCATAAATGCATTTGGGGTCACTGAGACCTGGAGAGATGCCCCCCCAAGCACTTATGAGGAGTAGGATGTGAATACTCAGGGGGGTGTGTTTATTGAACCCAAAGACTACACCACCTTAATAGGAAAGTTAACATTTTAACTTTGCAAGCAGCTGCCAAGAGGAAATTTACAAACTACAAAGAGTAAAATATAAATAAGCTGAAAGAAAGGGGGGGGGGAGAAAGAAACGGAAAGAACACCCACAGTTGCCAGTAACTAGGAATGGATGAAATAAGAAACATTTTTGGTTTTAGTCAAACCTTTAGAATTTTTCAAAAGGCTTAAAGGAGAAAAAGAAGGAGGCGGAGAGCGTGTGGGAGAGGGCACTGCTGATCTAGATGAAGCTAAAAATTTAAATGATGGTGAAACCCAGAAAACTGGCATTCAAAGTGTGCTATTAATACAAATGTTCCTTTGAAGAGGGTGGTTTGGTGGAAACCACTTCCTGCTTTCTACTTTCCCTCACCACAGTAGGGCACCTGGGGTATGAAGATTGGGTTCAAGCTGAGTGTGGTGGCACATGGCCTGTAGTCCCAGTGATGCTGGACCATGCAAGTTTGAGGCCAGCCTGGGCAAATTAGCAAGACCTTGTCTCAAAACAGGAAAAGGGCTGGGGGTGTAGCTGTGTGATAGAGCAGCCCTGGGTTCAGTCCCCAGGACCAGAACAGACAAACAAATAAGAACAGAAGACTCTTCAGGGCTGGGGAGGGGGTGGTGGCTCAGTGGTAGACACTTGCCTTGCATGTGTGGGGCCCTGGGTTTGATCCTCAGCACCACATAAGTAAATAAAATAAAGGTATTGCGTCCATGTACAACTAAAGATAAAAATAAAAATAAATTGACTGTTGGAATTTTTGTTCTGTTGTTTATTAGCTGTGTAGCCTTGGGCAGTTTGCTAAACCTCTCTGAGCTGTATTTACTTACCTCTGAAGGCAGGATAGTGAGAGCTACTCAGGGAAAAGAAGACTCAGCCTTTGGCCAAGCTCAAAGTCCTCAT